TCCACTTTGAATTTTTATTCTCACAAAAAATAGAAGATTTACTGTTATGCAGACTACTGCATTAGTGTAGAAATGATATAAATAATATCAGCGCACTTGTGAAAAAATATTAGACTCCCCAGTTGACGTGTATGGGATGCGGGGCATGATTTGTTTACTTTTGAATTTTGGGGCAAAAATCGAACATTTCTGCTACTTTGAGCTCAATTTCAAGGTACTTTTCATTGTGAAACCAATCAAAATATTCTCAAATTTCTGTAATTGTCTTCCATTCTATAAAATGAGACCGGGGAAAAACTAGAATAAAACCCATAATACCATATAAAAATACAGTGCTAAATCGCTGTTTTAAACCAAAAACACGGGTCAAGTTTTTTTTCATTACACACTGTTTGCTGTAGGATTTTTTTTATACTGCGCACACTGACTACATAGACCCATTCTTTCATATGTAGGCCTACCAGCTTTCTCTTGCTAAATTTGAAGGCGCTAGAATTTAGGCTTACTAGTACGTCAATAACCCCGGTGCATAAGCCGTACTAGTGTGTCGGAAACCCTGAAAGGGTTAATTCACCTGATGGATTACATAAGTACAGCCTCTCCTCATTTAATGATGGAGTTCTGTTCTTAAGACCACACTGTTAAACAAATTCGTTGCTAAGTGAGAAGCATACTATGATGGTAGTGAGTTTGTGTCAACCATCTTTGATATTAAACCATACCCCGGCCGGGATTGAACCCGCGGTCTGGAGTTTTGAGACTCTCTGACCGCGGGTTCAATCCCGGCCGGGGTATGGTTTGTTTGCAATCGTGTCATTACGATTTCATGAGTCATCTTTGATATTATTTTAATGTCACTTCTGCACCATTTGTAACAATTCTGGCATATTTTTAAATGTATGTACAGTAGTGTACTGTATACTGAAATAAACAGAATAAAGGAAATGAGCTCTAATATACATTATTTAGGAATGAATACTGGTCAGAGAGCCCGTTGTAAGTCCGAGGTGTCAGTAAATGTGTCGGGTGGGTGTTTAAGATGTAGGATGAAAAGGAATGCACACTCAAGACAGTTTGGTAACTTATAGCATGAGAGTCTTGTGGGGGAAGCCCAAGAGCCTTGCCTTGTCCAGTCTAACCTAGCGGGAACTGGGAGGGAAGGCCTCCGGCCAAGCGCTCACATGCATGGGGCTCGTGACGTCACAGCTAGCCACGGAGCCTATGCAGTTAGTCAGGGAGCCTATGTATAACATAGCTGGGAATATCTATATATACTACACAGGTATTCAGTGACACTACTGACAAATGAGTACGTTGCTAAGTGAAGAGAGGCTGTACTACTAGAGATGTTTCCGTATCAGTAATGGCTGATTTTGATGGCATCAGTATCAGCCTGAAGTTGAGTATCGATATCATTGAGTACGTATTAGCTAATTTTGATGCTATCAGTAATGGTATTGGCTAATTTTGATGGTACGGTTATTGGCAAAACAAAATTATCATTCCATCCCTAATAAGTATCCAAATGCCAAAAGAAAATTTCACAAGGATGGCTACCTTAGACCTACACAAGGTATTCGATACAGTGAACCATAGCACAATGCATAAAGGAATAAAATTAATCAGTTCCAGTCTTACCTAAGCAACAGGAAACAAATTATTATAGCTTAGTTTTAGTCACCATATTACAAAATGGATATAAATGTGCTGGAAAATGTACAAAGAAGTATGACAAAAATTGATCCCATGTAACAGAAATCTTTCCTGCAAGGATAAACTAAGGGCCTTGAATCTGTACTCTCTAGACAGGGGTAGAATTAGGGGGGAATTTGATCAAGGTGTATAAATGGAAAACAAATAAATAAAGGGAACGTAAAAAATGTGCTAAAAGTATCTAACCGAGACAGGACTCACAGCAATGGTTCCATGTTGGAAAAATTTAGATTTAGAAGGGATATAGGAAAGCACTGGTTTGGTATCGTTTGGATGAAGGAACAAACCCCAAGTAACACGAAGCAAACATTGTTATTTTAAAAATGGTTAGAAAAATACATAGGGGGTGTGGGTGTTTGTTTTGAACCTGAAAATTTTGGGGCCAGTAGGTGACTTTGCCCCTGCCGGCAGGGGCCCAGCAGGGTTGCTGCAATGCCCCGTCATTCTTATGTTCTAATAAATTTTAAAGCAGATTTACATCACGGGGGTTCTGCAAGAGCATATTTTGGCCCCCCACTCTTTTTGTCCTATGAAAAATGACATTCATTAGATCTAAATCGTAGCAGAACGTGCTCTCTTATTTTCATTTAAAGGACCCAAAGGATATAGTAAAGTACTACATCAGAACTGAAGTATCGGGTCAAAAATTTTGTAAAAAAAATTTTGTTCTTCATCTGGTGGTTTGGGTTGGGCAACGTACTTCCCCTTAACCGAGTTCTGTGGTTTATCCCTGACAGGATGGAAATGGGGGCATGTTTCCTTTCCCTACTGCCCCTATTCACCAGCAAAGTAGGTACCTGGGTTTTGTTGACTAGGGGGGTTGCATCCGGGGGGACAAGACGGAAGGCCCCCAAGGGAAAAAATTGAAGCGTCCTTTGATGCTTGCTTTTTTGGGGTTATCCTGGGGGGCTAACACCCCCCCTGGTTAAAATTCTGAAAAACCCTTTATTTTGTACAGTAAACAAAAAAAGAAAATGCCAGGTTTAATTTTCTCTATACAGGCAGGTGTACCCCATGGCTTGTGTCAAAACCCTATACATTCAACATTTATGTAAAGACCTTCCCAACAACCAGACACACACTAAATTTCACTAATGACATAATATTTGAGTAACAGCAGAATGAAAGTTACCCAAAAAGTAAAGGGAAAAAATAAGTGGGATGGGGGAAAAAAAACTAAATATTCAAATTCCATTTTTTTTCTTTCATGTGGACAAAATAAAGTATTTTTAACATGTAATTAAATATTGTTGGGCACAAATAAAGTCACTATATGCAGCTTTTCAGAAAAATTTAAATTTAATCTTAAAACACTTAAAAATTTCGACATGACTATTAAATAGGATTTCTTAGTAAGTTTTTTGGGGTAGGTTTCCCAAAAATTTTGGAAATGGAAAAAATACCGACAAGTTGGGGATTAAGACCCATACGTTGGGCATCTTATCATGCAATTTTTCACCAAAACAGTGGGCTTTTTTCGAAAATACAAAGGAGCAGTATTTACCGGGGATTTACCTGGGGGAAGTTCTGGGGTAAACCCCCCCGCGGCCCCGGTCGTGACCAGGCCTCCTGGGGGATCAGAGCCGAAAAAACCAGGCTTTATCTGGCGACCAAAACCCAACGTAGAGCCACACCCGGCTGGTCAGGAATGAAAAAAAATGAGTAATCAATCCCTCAACCTTTGGGGAAAAAATTTAAGGGGTTTATCCCCCCCTGTTGAAAAGAGCTATGGCAAGACAGGTCCAACCCCCCAATCTTTTTTCCAAATATCGGACCCCCCCAATTTTTTTTTTTTCCATTTCCCCCTTTTTTTAAAAAAATTTTTGGGGGGAAACTTTTTCAATAAAAACCCAAATTTTTCCTTTTCTTTTAACCCCACAGTACCTTAATTCCTTTTTTTTCAAAAAAACAAAATTTTAAATTCCCAAAAAACCCCCCCCAAAAAATAAATTTTTTTTTCCCCGGAAAACCCTCAAAAAAAAAATAATTAAAATGAAATTTCCTCAAAATAAATTTTTTTTAAAAATTTAATAACATAGTTAATTTTATCGAGGAAAAAAAAAATTTTCAAATAGTTTCTTTTGATTTCATATTAAAATTTCTAAGGAAAAAATGGGGGCAACATATCAAATACCTAAGAATTAAACCCCCAAAAAGGGTCCCCAATTAAAAAAACCCCCGGGCCCTCCCCAAATCGTTTAAAAACCCCCACCAAAAAATCCTTTTTTTGTTAAAAAAACTTCACCCCAAAATAAACCCCCCCAAATTTTTTCATTCCAAAGGGGGCCCCAAAACAAAAAAAAATTTTTGATTGGGGTCCAGTCCACGTGAACTTAGCCAAAAAGGGAAAAATTTTGGAAATTCTTACCATAAATACTAAATAAAAAAGGCGAAAAATTTAAATTTTTTCAAAAAACCATCACCCTAAAAAAAACAAAAATTATTTTTAACTTTCCCCAAAATTAATTACCAAACTTAAAAATTCTCTTCCCCCAAAATTTTTAAATTATTAATATTTATTACATTATAGTATAAATACGTATCCACAACAATTCAAATTCAAATTCAAATTCAAAGTTTATTCTCTATAAAGATTACAATGTTGAATTTACAGAATTTGGTTGTTGTGTGGTTTACATGTAGTTAAATATGATTACAGAGTGTACCAACTGTAAGATAAGATAAGATAAGATAAGATAAGATTTCGTTCGGATTTTTAACCCCGGAGGGTTAGCCACCCAGGATAACCCAAGAAAGTCAGTGCGTCATCGAGGACTGTCTAACTTATTTCCATTGGGGTCCTTAATCTTGTCCCCCAGGATGCGACCCACACCAGTCGACTAACACCCAGGTACCTATTTGCTGCTAGGTGAACAGGACAACAGGTGTAAGGAAACGTGTCGAAATGTTTCCACCCGCCGGGAATCGAACCCGGGCCCTCCGTGTGTGAAGCGGGAGCTTTAGCCACCAGGCCACTCTTAACTACTTTCAATAACTCACAAAGTTATATTCCCATAATATAATTTCAATATTTATTATTGAAACTATTGTAATTAGAGTAAAATTACTGTCAACTATAAATAAAAAAAAAAAGATGTACAACTTAAACTATGAACAATTTCTTCAGTATTAAGTAGTCTGTAAGCCATTAAGTCTGCCTTTAATGCCATTGCATGATAGTGACTCTTTGAACTGCAACTCATTATTGTAATTTTATAATCTCAATGTAATCCTGCAAAGAAATAAATTTTGTTTGTTTAAAAAAAAAGGAATAAGGAAAAACTGACCTGTTAACAGTAGTGTTGTTGAGGTTGTTAAGGGCCACAGTAACTAAGACTTTGTGAGCTCTACCTCCCTGAGAGAGACGAAAAGAGAGAGATAAAAAAAAGGTATATTTCCTAAATCAGAGCTGCTGGATTATTATTATAAAATTTATAATCATGGGGAGCGCTAAACCCGTAAGATTATACAGTGCACGTGGGGGGATGGAAGGTATGCAGGCTCACTTCAGGGAACCGGAGCACAGAGCCAATTCCTTAGATCAAGAGCCCCTCACCAGCATCAAGGAACCTCCCTTGAGGGGAGAGCTGCTGGAAATTAAAATGAAACAAAGTCCAAACATCTGGTTTTGAGAAGGACCTGCCTTGTATAGGGCAGTAGGCCTCATTCAGTGTTTCTCCAGTCTCTCCCCTAGTATATCTTCTTTTATTGTAACTCCTTTTACATAGCAAAGATACCTGTTTTTAACTTTTAAATATAAATAATAATTATCACAAGGACCCCAATGGAAATAAGTCACTCTGACTTTTTTGGATTATCCAAGGTTACAACAGAGGTGCTGCAGTTACATATTATTATGAATTATCATACATAGCAGCATATGTGTAGAGAACCTAGGATAACCCAAAAAAGTCAGACAGAGTGACTTATTTCCATTGGGGTCCTTTTACCTTATTATTATAATATAAAGGTTATAATATTTTCTTATTATTCTATAATGAAGATAACATCTTATTATCATACTAAAAAGACTATCTACTACACGAGGGTCATTAAGACTATACAATACGAGGGTCATTACTAGGAATAAGGTAAAATTTACACGTATGTTAGCTAAAAAATAGAAAATCATTCCCCTCCCTTTCTGTAGCTACATTCATCAGACACCTTTTGGCACTCTTCTTGAACTGGTTCATGCTATGACTGGCTTTGACATGTGCAGGTAGTCTGTTCCATTCCTTTATTGTTGTACAATAAAAGGTGTTTGAAGCCTGGCCAATGACTGTGGGTACTACAAAGTTGTGCTCCCTCCCCCTAGTACTATGATTGCTTTGGCTCCCAACCTTGACAAAATTGACAGCAAGATATTCTGGACATTGTTTGTGAGCAATTTTATAAACATGATTTAGCTTCAGTTGTTTTACTCTGTCTTCAACATTCAGCATGTCCAACTGCTGTAATTCATCCTGGCCTACATGTTCTCTTGGTCCCAGCCCCAGGATGAATCTTACGATTTTGTTCTGGGTGATTTGCAGTCTATCTTTCAGTTTTTTTGTCAAGGCAGAGTACCATGAAGAGCAAGCGTAATCCATATGGCATTGTATAAGGGCTAGACATAGGGTCCTGCGAGCCTCAGTAGGTAGACACTGTGCTTGTCTATACAGGAACTTCAGTCTGGCATTCGCTTTCTTTACTCACTGTTCCCTATCAGTTCTCCTGACATGTATGGGTCAAAGGGGATTCCCAGATATTTTACTGATGAAACCAAAGTGATGGGCTCCCCATTACACTGGACATTAAAATTATTTACCCTTCTAGTTTATGTTTCGTCCCAAAAGAGAATGGCTTCAGTTTTCCCTAGGTGTAATGATAGTTTGTTGTCTACTAACCATTTGCTGCAGGACTCCAGTTCAGTGTTAAAACATTAGCAATATCTTGTGGGTCTTTACTGACACTAACAGAGCACTGTCATCTGCATACAAAGGTAATGAACTACATCTGGTCAACTTGCTCAGCTATCAAAACTTTGGAGTCCAGTCCTGGACCAATTATGTACCTCTGTAATCTTTTGACTACCGCCCACAGGAGGGGTTTATGGGTTGCATAATAAACATATTAAACTAAAAACATCTGCATACAGTAGGAGTTTGCACTTGACACTGATAGGCATATCATTGACATAACATAAGAATAATAAGGGACCCAGAATACTACCTTGGGGAACTCCACATGTTATCGGCAGGGATTCTGATTCCTTTTTGTTGATTTTGACTATTTGTCTCTGTTGCTAAGGTAGGACTTAAACCAGTCTACAGAACCTATACCGATAGCTTGAAGTTTCTTACATATATTGTGGTTGACAGTATCGAAGGTCTTTTGCAGGTCTAAGGTTACCATGCCTATGAGGTTCCCCTTTGACATTTCAGTTCTCAGGTAATCCATCAGATTAATAAGGGAGGTGTCGGTTGAGTAGGATCTTCTAAAGCCCGATTGATAGCTATGGAGAATGTTGTTGTCATTAAGGTACTTAACTACTTGAGAATACACCGCCCTCTCTAGAATTTTAGATATTATACTGAGTATACTAACAGGCCTATAGTTGCTTACATCAGACCTACTATTTTTCTTGAAGATAGGAGTAACTCTGGCCTCCTTGAACCCCTCCGGTACGGTATTAGTGGTGACTGATAGATTTATTATGTGAGCAATAGGGATTGACAGTTCAGAAGCACCATCTTTTAGGAACTTAGACAGGATGTTATCAGGGCCTGTGCTCTTAGTTGGTTTAACCTGCTTAGTTCTTTTTGAATAAGTCATGAGATACACTTACTAGTTGAAACTGTTTGGGGTTACCCCTTTTTGGTATAGTATGTTTGAACTTATCAAAGTCTGTGTTAAAGGTATTTGATGCAGCTGGTAGTTTACTTACTAGTGTTGATGCAACAGTGTGTAGTAGGAATTAAAGCAATTTGCCACCTTAGATGTTTCGTGGCATACCTCATTATCGATAGTACTATGTTAGACCTATCTACTGGCTTATGGCTATACCCCAACTGTTTTAGTTTTTTGCCAGAGCTTTCTGGGGTTATGCTTATACTCTTCAATTTTGAGCATAGTGCTTTTCCTTTGCTCCTTTTATAAGTCTCTGTACTCTGTTCCTCACCTTCGGAATTCATTTAGTGCTGCAATATCCTGTCTGTTTGCTTTAAATCTTTTTAGCAGCTGGTCTCTGAATTTCATATTATCTAATATCTCAGTATTCATCCAGGGTTCAGTTCTTCGTTTAATCCTAACCTCTTTAACTGGTGCAATATTATCAAGGATGGTAGTGAACATTGTTTTGAATTTTTCCCAGGCATCGTTTACGTCCGTGCAACTTGTTATCTCTGTCCAGTCACAATTGTGTAGCCTATTTACCAGTGTTTCTTTACTGTAGTTTCTAGTTGACCTCATTTTTATTGTCCTGTGTAGGCCTATCCTATCCCTAGTGGTTTTCCTGGTGCAGTAAATGATGAAATGATCACTAAGACCTGTGGTAATGACGCCTGACTGACTAATGTTCTCAGCGCGGTTACAAAGTATGTAGTCAATTAGGGTGGCTGAGAACTGTGTGATCCGGGTTGGTGTATTAATTAGTTGAGTGTAACTATTTAATCCTAGAATTTGCTTATACCTTTTGCATAGCCCGTTATTTTGCTGCTGAAAACAGATGTTGAAGTCGCCCAGTATTATTGTCTCGCAATTGTTTTCAACTCCGGACAAGACTCTGGAAAAGTCTTCCAAGAACTGGTCCTGGGTAGGAGGGCGGTAACTAGTTCCTACTAAGATGGGTTTGGTCTTGGGAAGCAGCACTTCAAACCATAGAATCTCCAGTTTATGTAATTGTGTATACCTGAATAAACTTACTTAAATGCTCTTATCTGTATGTGTGTGGTTGTTGTTTGGGTCCATCTTGATTCACAATAGCCAGTGTGGTCTGATAAAAACCACTGTTAGTCATCTGAGAGGCTAGTGTGTTGTGCACCCTCAGTTCATCCTCTGAGTGCTACCACAAAACACTAATTCAAATTCGTCTTTTTATTTATTTTATGCAGTATACAGATAATGTAGATTACATGTAATAAAATATTGTCAGGCACCAAAAACACAGAGGTCACAATGGGTCATTATCAGTCCCCATTGAGCATTGTTACATCACATGAAAGAAATAGTCATGTGATATTTTACAATTACTTAATACAGTTGCTGTACACAGTACAGTAAAGAAACAATCTCAAAAAATGAAACATTATTCCCATTAAAAAATTGTCATAACTGAGTTGCAATCAGTATAAAGTCTGTGCATTATTATTATTATTATAATCAAGGGGGAAGCGCTAAACCCAGAGGATTATACAGCGCCTGGGGGGGATGTGGAAGGCATAACCATGACTTGCTCCACGTAAAATTGTCACACTATGGTATAAGAGGGCACTCCCTCAACTACCTCAAGTCATACCTCAGCAACAGAAGCCAATATGTGTATGCAAATGGGGCAAACTCTTCTGCACAACCAATTACAGTTGGTGTCCCACAGGGAAGTGTCCTTGGCCCTCTTCTCTTTCTCCTATACATAAATGACCTACCAAATGCTTCGCAATTACTCAAACCCACACTATTTGCAGATGACACTACATACGTCTTCTCCCACCCGAGCCCAGTCACGCTAGCCAATACTGTAAATACAGAATTACAGAAAATATCTACTGGATGAGGACTAACAAACTTACACTAAACATTGACAAAACCTACTTCATTCAGTTTGGTAACAGAGCTACAGATGTCCCTCTTAACATAATGATAAACGGATCACCTATCACAAAGCTAACAGAGGGAAAATTCTTAGGAATCCACCTTGATAATAGACTCAAATTTCATACACATATACAACAAATTTCTAAGAAAATTTCCAAGACTGTAGGCATACTATCGAAGATACGGTACTATGCTCCACAGTCAGCCCTCCTGGCCCTATATCACTCTCTTATTTACCCCTATCTCACCTATGGAATTTGTGCATGGGGCTCAACAACAAGTAACCATCTCAGACCACTAATTACCCAACAAAAGGCTGCAGTTAGAATGATAACAAATTCTCACTATAGGCAGCACACTCCACCAATATTCAATACACTAAACCTATTCACCATACAAAACATTCATACTTATTACTGCACCTATTACATACATAGAACACTTAACTCTGATATTAACCCTCCCCTCAAACATCTCCTTGCCAACCTCAACA